TAATTTTGCAACATTTGCTATAGCTGCTTAAAGCTTCCTGCATATACCTGTAAGTGTAGTTGACTTCAGTGTTTGTTGCCTGTCTCTTTATATTTCATCTTTCCTATCGTTGGCTTTTTTTTTTTTTAATTTTGAGCAGGAGGGTAAGTCTTTTGTGCATTTATGTTTCGAATTCTTGTGTGTTTGAAAGTGTCTTTTGCCACAAACCCTTGGCTGTGAGAGAACTATTTTCTGAAGAAATTGACCCAGTAACTTTCAATGTTGCAGAGAGAAAAAAAAAATCCTAAACCAATAAACTCTTTAGTCTATAGATTGTTTTTTATTCAACCTAAATATTTAAAACATGTATTGGTATAGCCTGGCATAAAAAGAAAGGAGAAGCCCCTGGGCAGCACGCACTGGGCTGTGAGCTCTGTATTCATTCCTGTCACCCACACTTGATAAGCCTTTGCCTTCGATGACTTGTGTCTTCAGTTCTTCCAGTGTTCCGCGTGTTGTGGCAGATGTCACTACAGCTTGTCTCGGGATGCTGCTCTTCCCCCGCTCCGGCTACCTGGCGGGGTGCCCGGCTCCCTGTCTCTGCCAGGGTGTGCCTCAGTTGTGTGGGGAGAGGGTGCCTCTCCCAGTTTCTTCCCACTTCCTGCGGGGCTGGCTCTAGGGAAATAGTCTCCAAGTGGTTAGAAAAGGAGCAGAGTCAATGGCGATGAGAAAAACGAGGGAGCAGGACGATGGTTCTGAGTGGACGGGAAGAAGACCCCGCCTTGCTGTCCTTGGTTAGGGAGCTTTCTCTGCTCCTGCAGAAGCACCCAGTCCTTCTCTGGTGGAGCGGGCCCGTGCCCAGTCCATGCCAGTCAGGTGTGTGGAGCGGGCCCGTGCCCAGTCCATGCCAGTCAGGCGTGCAGTCAGCAGTCTTGCTTATCTTCAGGTTTGTATGCTTTGGTTGAAGCTTTGTATTTCTTCCTACGTGCACTTGACAAGAATCGTAACGGGCGCGACCTCCCTGTGGTGTTAACCTCGCTTGCGCCGTATGGGTTGTTCTTATCTGCATCCCACAGAAATGCTGCTGGCCACAGACCCCCCTTTCCCATGGCAGCCGCTGTGCCATCCACTTCATGTCCCTTGTGGCCTTTTTTAATTTTTATTTTTTAAGTTTGATTGATTGATTTGCAAGGCAGAGTTAGAGATTGTCTATCCGCTGGTTCACTCCCCAAATGGCCATTATGGCGGAGGCTGGGCCACGAAGCCGGGACCCTGGAGCTTCCTCCAGGGCCCACGTTTTGGGCCATCTTCCACTGCTTTCCCAGGCACATTAGCAGGGAGCCGGGACAAGAAGCAAAACCCATATGCGGCTCCACCCACTGTGGCCCAGCGCTGGCCTGTGTCCCTGGCAGTCCTTACGGCCTCTTAGAGCCGCTGCTCACACCTGTCGTCCCGAGTGGGCTGCTCTGGAGCCCCTCAGGGCCCTCGCCTCCTGCCTGGGGACCCTCCCCCGACCCGCCCTGGGCTTTGCTTTAGTGACTGGTCCAGTTGCTTGTTTCTGCAGGCCCGGCATTGGCGCATGCTCTTTCTGAGAAGCCCGTGGGCCAGAGCTGCCTGAGTGAATTTTCATGGAATCCAAGGAGGCCAGAGCAGAGTGGACAGCACACGCTGCCCACCTCACTGTTCTCTGTCCTCTGTCTTCTCCCCCGTCTTCCTGTGGTGCTGCTGCTCCAGGCGGCGTGGGCCAGAACGGACTTCCTGGCACATTCTGTTGTTAGTGTCTGTTGATACATGAAGGTAGCCAGTTATCTAAATGAGAATCATTCCTACAGGTCGGTCTTCTTTGTAGTAGTTGCAATTATTTATTTGCTGTTGATTTCAGTACAACCAGGGAAGAAGGTAAAGGAATCCCAGATTAGCAACCACAGTGAATATAATTTCTATGTGATTTAGCCACTCTGATAAAAGCTTGGCAGAGTTTATAAATCTAAAGTATTAATGCATCTGATCTACCCCTCATTTCCTGCTTTAGTAGGTATCATTTTCAGATGCTGGCATAGGAGCCTAAAACCTAGACCATGGCTTGTCTTTGTACAGCCAGGACTGAAGCATGGCTAAGTTTTTCAAGGGTTGCTTAAAAGAGAGGAAGAATTGGTAGGAGCAGTAGTGTTAGTAACGGTGGTAGTAATAGCAGTAGTAGCAATAGTTGTGTTAGAGGCCCTGCGTGGCCCCCAAACCCTAAAATATTTACTGTCTGGTTCTTCATGGAAATAGTTTGCCAAACTCTGACCCAGTCTGAATATTCCTCTCACACAGACCGCTTAGAGTATGAATGTAACTTTGTGCCTGACACTGGATCCTCACAGATGTTGCCCATACACACGTGTCATTCCTTCATGCCTCATTTCATGATGGCATTTGTGTAAATGAATGGACAGTTATTGCGCATGTTTTTATTGAATTTGCAGATCTGACATTCACATTTATTCAAGAGTTAAGCAAAAGGATCGCATAATTTCAGTGACTCCACAGGCAGTCTTTCTGCAGCCTTGGCTTTTCTTTGAAGAATACTTTAACGCATACCTGTTTTGTTCCCGAGACACAAACCCGCGATGTTCAGTGCTTCCCATAGCTGAGTGTAATAGATTAGAAACAGTGACAAACCTGTGATCCCGCACCAAGCTGCTCATTGAGTTATTCCACTGAAAATGTTTTCAGAGAAAACACAAGGTCAAGTGAACCAGACGCTGGGTTATTTGGTTTAATTTTCTGGAAAATAGGATTGCCTTTATCAGATCGCAGTGTCTCCCGGCCCTCATGCCTGGCTGACAGCTCTGACAGTGGCTCTGCTGTGGTGGCCGTGGGCGGGAGGAAGCTGCTTTGTCAGCAGAAAGGGCTGTAAACTGAGCTGGGGGACCAGGGTCACCTCCCCTTGACCTGCTGATCACTGATGGGTTATGTCAACGTCAGAAAGTGTGGCTGCGTGATTTCTCTTCATGCTGCTTTTGAGTAGGGAAGCAGCACCGTAGAGGCAGGGCCGCCGTGAGGTGGGAGGCACTGCGGTGCGCGGGACAAAGCGCACGCAGCGGCTGCTCTGTCCGACAGCACCACGGGCCCGCAGTTCCTCTGCATCAGGGTGGAGAGCGGTCAGAGCGCGCTTACTGGCTGGCCGCGAGCAGAGGCGCTCACAGAGCCTGCAGTCTTTGTCTTTGGCACTTAGCAGGGTCTGCCTTCCTCCCTGGAAGAGAGTAGTCTATTTCAGAATTCCATGCAGAATTTGAGGTGACTTTGCAAAAATAAAAAGAACAAGATCAACATAAAAAATTAAAATGAGAAGGAGCAGAGAACTAGCTGGTGTTGGCCGTTGGGGATGTGTTTGTGGTGCGTCCGAGTCCTGAATGTTAGAGAATTGTCTCAGTCACAGGAAATGCGTTGAGTGGAAGGATCTGATAAGAGAAGCACACACCTTTTTTCTTTTCCTAGACAGACTGTCCTGTTTATTGTCATTTCTAAGCCACCTGGGTGGTGGATTCCGGCAGAGCCTGCTAGCTCCTTTGGAGAAGCTGGACTCAACCATTCGAACGCAGAGGACAGCCGCGCGTGCCTGGTGCGGCCGGGCCGGCCGTGAGGGCCGCAGGAGCACCCTGCCTGCGGGCTTTGCTGGAGCACTTTCTGTGAAAGAGCAAGGATTCTGGGTGTGGGGGGACAGGAGGCCCTTGGTTTGCGGCTGAGTGTGACTGCAGCGGACACAAGTTGATCATTCTTATCTTGCAGATATGAGCACAGTGCAGCTGGTGCCCAGGCTACATGGACGCTGGGTTGGGATTGCACTAGTTAAGTTCACAGTTTGGGTTTTGCTAAGTCAGTTTGTTAGATTTTTTTTGGAGCTATAATTTTTCCATCTGAAAAACAGAAATGAAATGAGAATGTACTTGCAATATACATACGTTAGAGGCTTCCCACAGTGTTTGAGTTTTGATCACCTCTCAATTAATGATTGCCTTGATGTTTTTATTATGTCACAGTTCTGAATTTGAATTTATATTCAGCCTTTTTTGTTTTGAAAATTTTCTCAGTTCTCCTAAAGAGTCTGATGCGTCTTGTTTAAAGCCTCTCCTTTTCAGAGGGCAACCGTTTTTAAATATAAATTTTTTGAAAGATTAAATTTATTTAAAAGGCAGAGTTACAGAGGAAGGGAGAGGGATTCAAAGAGACAGAGAAAGATTGTCCCTCTGCTGGTTCACTCTCCAAATGGCCACAGTGCCTCGGGCTGCTCCAGGTCAAAGCCAGGAGCTTCATGCAGGTCTCCTACGAAGTTTCCGGAGCCCAAAGACTTGGGCCATCTGCTGCTGCTCTTCCCAAGCACATTAGCAGGGGGCTGGATAGGCGGTAGAGCAGCTAGGACTTGAATCTGCATCCATATGGAATGTCAGTATTGTAGTTGGTGCCTTTACCTGCTGCGCCAGAGTGCCAGGCCCCTAAATACAAATTATTAGGTGATTTCCCAATAATCTTTGTCAGAGGGGGACAGATCTTGCTAGGTAGTTCTCTGGAGCCTCCAGGGAAGTCATTTGTTGTGAATGGAACACGAATAATATGTGTTTTGCCATGCTCTAGCTCCCAGGGCTGAAACTGAAATTGATGGGATGGATGGACTCCAAATAGTCTTCTGCTTTGCAAGTGGTGAATCCACTTTCCTGTGGCCAGATATCCCACATACTGGTCCCAAGACCAAGGATGCCCTAAGATTCGCTTTTCTTTTTCGTCCAGGGAGTTCTGCACTCAGTCTTGAAGACCGGACGGTTGAGTGTGTGTCGTGTGTGCTGTTTCCGTCGTGTTTGTGAACAACTCAGCCTGGTGTCTGCTGGGGACTCTGCGGAGTGTTGCATGTTTGTGCTCCGTTTCGGTGGTGGAAACCACAGGACTGTTTTTTAGAGCTGTTTAAAAATGTCATTTTGATATGATATATTCCCACCCGTTAAAGTGGCCTACATTTTAAACTGGATTTTTTTTTTCCCTAGCCATCCATCAAAAACTAGAAGCGGATGGAACGGAAAAAGTTGGAGGATCCATGACGCAGAAACTGGAGAGTGTTCTGAATAGTGAGTTTTGCCCTGCTGCCCAGGACTGTTTATGGACTTTGTAACGAGCTTTAACATCATGCTGGGACCTGATTTTATGGAGCAAGGCGGTCAGTTGCGATTTAGTCTTTATTTCTAAATAGTAATGATGTAAATGAGCGTAAAGGGAAATGGAAACATCGAGAATGAACGCTCTGCTTCTGTTTGCATTTTATTTATGAGAAATCAAATCATAATTTGAAAACAAGCCAGTATATTCCTTAAGAAGTACAGTTGGCCACCATGAAGCAGGCCGGTATATTAATGGTATATTAATGGCATCGTCAGCCACAGAGAAAACGCCGAGGCGATAGCTGGGATTGTCAGTGACCAAAGAGCCTGCCAGAGGCCACCTTCAGGTTTCTGCTGTGTAGACGTGCATGACGCCAGCTGCCAGAATGATGGACAGCCTAGGTGTCATCTGTTTATTTGTTTACATCGTGAATTGTTTTTTTTTCCTCCCTGTGTCTAACTCTGGGACACTCTGTAAACATTATGGGCCTGGGAGCAACTGGTACATGCCAGTTTTGAGTCCTGCCCACCGCCCAACTCTCGGTCTCAACTACTTATCAGATTAATTAATCTTTATTGAAATAGCAGGTGATTAAAAAGTAACACACCCTCTCTCACATGCACGATAAGTGTTGGGCATGAGACAGTCATGTGGATTTCCTCATGAAGCTGGGTTGAGTGTAGCCTCACTTGAGATTGTTAGCGTATGTGACCGCACGGCTGTGAAACGCAGCTGCCTCTGCCCAGGGAGCGCATTCTCTGGCTTTATGCAGACACCTGCTCGCAAGCCTGGGGAGTCAGAAGATGTCAGAAAGAAGAAGCTTTAGCGTGGGGTAGACTTTCCTTGAGAGTAGAATTCGAGTGCTTGTATCTCATCGTAAATAACAGCACTTCACTTTTTCCTCTCTGCTTATTATTATTTCTATTATTATCACTTGTCTTGGCCCTGTCTCTGGGAACCAATCACCTATTTTGTTAAGATGAGTGTATTCTGGATTCAACCCAAAAAAATAGTCACTGACACTGTTTCTGTGTACGCTGTAGCTGGGTATTCCGAGGTCCTGGGATCTTGGAAGGATATTTTCTTTTCTTTTCTTTTTTAAGATGTACTTATTCATTTGAAAGTCAGAGTTACACAGAGAGAGAATCTTCTGTCCTCTGGTTCACTCCCCCAGATGGCCACAAGCCGGGGCTGGGCCAGGCCAAAGCCAGGAACTCAGTCCCGGTTTCCCCTGTGGGTGGCTGGGAACCCAAGCGGTCGAGCCATCGCCAGCTGCCTCCTGGGGTGCACACCAGCAGGCGCGTGGAATAGGACATGGAGTGAGGATTCAGACCCGTGGGATGTGTGTGTCCCAGGCAGCATCTGTCTCCCTCTCCCCTCCGCTCCTCCACTGGGTTTTGAAAGGCGACTTGTAGGAACAGCTGACATAATTGTCTCAGCAAAGGACATACTTGTTCAGGTTTAGAGACTGCTGAGGTCTGTCTGCTGTGTCCAGCCTAACGTAAGATGGTGAGGTAACTTTTTTGTCGTGTAAAGAGTTGTTTGGGAAATCCTCCCTCGGGATTTGCGGTGTGAAAATTGTAAAGGAAGTTATATTCCTTATAACCCTGAAATTTTTTTTAGAAATGGGCAATATAAGCTGTCTGTGTAAACTATGTAAGTTTGTCCTTTGTGGATAAAGTTGAGCTTAGCACAAATGGTCACTTCTTTATGAGACTCCTTCTTCAGGACCTTTTGGGGTAAAAATTCTCTAAATACATTTCTTCATAACAGTTCCACTTTTCCAGGAGCGCTCTTCATCAGCGTGATGTTGGTGCTTGCTTTCTGAGGTGAAGGTTTTGCTACTTCAGGTCTCACACTGGCTGTGGGTCCTGTGCCAGGAGGGAGCAGACCTCGCACCTCAAGTACACTGCCCACCGTGCACTGTCCCAGTGTCCAGGCTGCCAAGTGCCGTGGAACTCGAGGCAAGACTGCAGAGAGTTAGAATCAGGAAAAATAGTTGTGGGAATAATATTGAAAATTTAATTTCTTTTTTTGGGGGGGGGCAAGGAAAGATTAAGTTAGTATGAACATAACTCGGTTTGCGTAGGTTGTTACTGTCTTACATATAATTCCATGCTAATTTAATATGAAAGTGTCTTTGGTTTTGTTATTTAAGGAGAGCTTTCCTTCTTTGTCTTAAGTGAGGCATTCTTTCTCGCTGTAGCTAAGTTTCTGAAGGATAATATTGGCTACAAGAAGCTTAACCCATTTTATTCAGAATCCATCAGTGCTGACATCTTTCACTGAGATGTCTTGTTTTCAGTGACGTAGTTCTCACGTCTGCCTTTGAACTTAATAATTCCTTCTTGGTTTCAAACCAGGGATGACTATAAATTTTTACATCGATTTCACACATCCACCTCTGTGCTTTTCTCTATTCTAGGGCTGTGCAACGATGAGAGTGTAGCTGTCGAGCACTTCAGATGTGGCTAGGACGGCTGGAAACTGACTCCAGAGTTTTAGTTTAGTTTAATTAACTGTAAGTTGCAGTACCCTGATATGGCTAGTGACCACTGTCTCAGCCAGCAAAGATGTAGACGGGTAGTGTTTGTGGTCATAGTTATGGTAGTAATGGCTGAAACTTACGTAGTACTTACTAAGGGTCAGGTGTCGCTCTGATAGTTTACATATATCTAGCTCTATGGAATTTGTGGCATTATCTCCATTTTATTGATGACATACTTGAAGCCCAGAAGATTAAATAAGTTACATAAGGTCATAAGTGGCTGTAATGTATGTCCTGGAATCTGGCTCTAAAATACCAGTGGTCCATGCCATGTGTGGTTTTTTTTCTTTACTTTACTTTTATTTGCTTTGCTTTTCTCCCTCCCTCCCTCCCTCCCTCTCTCACTCTCTCTTTCCTTCTTTCCTTCTTTTTTTAAAGATTTATTTGTCTATTTGAGAGACAAAGTTACAGACAGAGACAGAGACAAAAAGAGAGAGAGAGAGAGATCATCCATCCTCTGGTTCACTCCCCAAATGGCTGCAGTGGCTGGAGCTGTGCTGATCCAAAGCCAGGAGGCACAGGAGCCAGGAGCCTCCTCTGGGTCTCCCATGTTGGGTGCAGAGGCCCAAGCACGGGGCCATCTTCTTCTCTCCCAGGTGTATTAGCAGGGAGCTGGATCAGAAGTGGAGCAACCAGGACTCAAACTGGCACCCATATGCTGGCACTGCAGGCGCAGGCTTAGCTTTCTACACCGCAGCGCTGGCCCCATGTGTGGTTTTGATATGCACACATTTCAGTGACTACAGTTCAGTTAAATAGCACCCACTTTCCAACAACTCCGTTGGGTTCCAGTCAGCACAGTGTATGCACAGGGACTCCTTGCTGGCTCTTCAGGCCGCAGCTCACCAGGTGAGGGCAGACGTGGGCTGTGATGAGAGAGCAGCCCTGTCACTTGCTTCAGGACTCAACACTGTGCATGTTTTCTGGCTCACGCACAGACAGCCAGGTCTGTGGCTGTGTTGGCCTACTTGTCTGCTGGTGACGAACACACATGACATTTTACATGAGTGGATAAGAGACTGGAACTGGCACACAGAGATGAAACTGTTATGACACTGTATGTGAAATTCAGATCTAAGATAAATGGAGTTACAGGAGAAAGAGCTGATGGTGGACATGTGACTCTGACTGCTGTTGGAGAGTCAGGATGTGCAGTTAGGCGACCTGCCGGCATGAGTGAGGGAAGTGTTGGGGAGGAAAGCGGCAGATGTCTCAAAGGAAGTGATCCTTGAAGCAGCTCTGAGATGTTTCACGCCCCTGCAGGTGCGAAGAGTGAGCTGTTGGAAGCCAGCTCACACCCAGACGGGGGCATGATCATTCACCAAAGAACAGCGAAGATACCTGGTAAATCTCAGGACAGAAAGGGAGCGTAAGCTCGGGCTGCACAGAGTAGTAAATCACTCTAATTTTTCGTGCTCTCAGTGTTTCAGTTTGTAGTGAACTAAATAAGTATTGGTTTGACTTTTCATTTTCCTATTCATTTATAACCAAAAGTGAGTTTTTAATATTTCAGGTTTTTTTAAACGTTAGACAAATTTAGCTGAGTTTTGTTTTTAAGTGACTATTTGAGAGTTGGAGAGAGAGTGAGAGAGAGGCAGAAGAGGGAACCCCCAGCTGCTGGCTCACTCGACCACTTCCATGCTCCAGCTGTGGCTGGGCTGGGGTTGGAGCCAAGAGCTGGACACAGTCTAGGTCTCTCCTGTGGGTGACAGGCCCCGATTCCTGGAGCCATCCACCCTGCCTCCCAGCATCTGCACTGGCTGGAAGCGAGCGTCAGCAGCCAGAGCTGAGGAGAGCCCCAGACATTCCAGCGTGGGATACAGGTGTCTTGATCGCAAGCTAAAGCCACCCTCCCCTGCTCCAGGAAAAGTTTTCAGAAGTCAGCAGAACAACTGAAAATCTCCCACTGATGATCAAGTCTCTTTGCTGAGTCTCAGCTGGCATAGCCATTGTGGTCCCACACGCTGTGCGAAGCGAGGCATGCCTGTACTGTGCTGTGCCACCTCCCAGTAGAAAAATAACCAGTGTTGACTCAAAGGTGGAGTGGTGGTCCTTGCTCTGTAAACGTTTTATTGGATTCTCGGGCTGTAAAGATCAAACCTGCACTCTACTTCTGCAAGTTCATAGCTTCCTGGTGAATGACACACATAAGCTGGTGATCAAGTTCCTGTGCACTGATGCCCTGCTGGCAGTCATCCTAGGATGTGTCCCGAGGTGCACAAGGAGCCGATACCCAGATGGTCACGTGTATCTAGAAAGGGGAGCAGAAGTGGCGGGACAGGCGGAGGCCGGCAGGAGGGCGGCTGAGCGGATTGATGCAGGTGCATCTCTGCAGGGCCAGCGCTGTGTGTGCGTGTGTGTGCGTGTGTGTGTGTGTGGGAGTCTCAGAGAGGAGAGGGACTGTGACCCAGGGCAGACTTCCTGGACGGTAGTGTGGACTTATCCTGAAGACCCATGGTGAGCCATGGGAGGAGTCCAGCAGGGCATCTGATGAGGCTTTTGGAGAACACGTTCCACCTGCACTGAGAACGGTTAGGAGGGAGCCTCCGGAGGCGAGAAGAGAGACCTCGTGGGAGTGTGTGGCAGTGACGTGAGGCGCACCTGTTGAGGACGTTCAACCAAAGTAGAGTGAATGACAGGCGAGAAGCGTTGAGATGAGGCAGGCAGTATCTGGTCACTGGTGGAGGTAGAAGGCAAGGAAAAGGAAGTAGCCAGGGACAACTTCTGGGTTCCTGGCCGCCAGTGGAGGAAGAAGGAACAGACCTGAGGCAAGAGGGGAGGAGTGGAGAAGAGGCAGATGCAGCTGGAGTTCTGGCATTTGGGCTGGAGACTCCCGAGGGTCCTGCCAGCCTGGCCCTTTCTAGCTCTCGCGAGCTCCTTGCTGCACGGAATTGGGCAGCTTGAATAGTCTCTGTGTTCCAGTTGCCTCCACCATAAAATGGGACTAAAAACGGATCCTGTCCTGCAGGAACACATGTGAGGTCTTAGTGCCTAGCCGCCAGTAGTTGTCAGTTTGCACGTCTAGTGAAAATCTCTCTCAAAGACTTGACGTCAGCTGCCCAGGGTGTCTTGATCTGGACGTGGCTGTCACTGGCACAGTCGGGTGGTTGCGTTGGCAGGACTGAAAGATTCAGCCTGAGCACCCTGTGTAAATAGAAAGTAAAAGTCAAGGAAGTGAAAAAGTATCAGTGAGTGGACGCTGTGAGAAAGAGGCTGACTCCCACCCAGCAGCTGACTGGTAAGCATTTAACAGCTGGCACTAAACAAACAAAGCAACCCTAATCTTAGCCTTTCCCGGTCTGCAAGGTGGTGGATTGCAGGCCATCAGCCTGACCGGAAGAGATGCGGAGGAGCGGTGGGGAGGACTAGCCCTCGGGAGCCGTGAGAGCCGGTCTGGGTACTGAATGCCGAGCCCCGGATTCCAGTGTCAGGCATGGCGTAAGCAGGAGTTCATCACTGGGGTAATGCTGCCACGTCGGGCCATGACGTCACGGATCTGCCGACGCTGGCACACAGCTGGCCGCTGGTTAGGTCTCCTGGTGGTCCTGGTTTTGCTGTGAGTTTGGGTATCTGTGCTGCCCACCTCATTTCCAGGTGTCCTAAGTGTTACATTTTCTAACGTCACTCGACTTGCCTGTCCCTGAGACAATTTGTGACACAGGCTGGGAGTGGCGGGGAGGTCTTCCTCTGTCCTCTCCCACCCCCGCAGTCCCCTCAACGTGGAGAACACCCAAGTGTCAGCACCAAGAGAGAAATGAGAACGCGTGAGGTTGCCCCAAAAGGAACATGCTGGAGATAAGACACTGCTGGCAGTGCAGGCTCGGGTTTCCTGGGTGACGGGTTCCTTCCGGTGCAGCTGACAGTGGTTTCTTTTCTTTCTTTTTTTCATCGCGGCTGATACCAGGTCACTGGTGGGTGTGAACGCCGCTGGTTGGTGTGTGATGCTGGAGGAAAGTCTCCCCGCTCCACTTTTGCTGCAGAAGCGTGGTCCTTAGTTCTTGGGGCTCCTGTGTGACTGCGCCAGGGATAGTCCTGTCCAAGTGGAGTGGTGTTGAGACTGGCCCAGGGAGCAGACACTGAGTTCAGTTCTAGGCTTGCTCAGTCCTGGCGACTGCACACCCAGGTATGTTCTGCAGCCTGTTAGGCCACCACCATGTGGACCTGTTAGATTTTGTGGGCATTCACACACCTGCCGGCTGCTGCAGAGCTGGGTGTCCTTGGTGTGACAAGGTGGGTGGCAGTCTTCAGATGACTCTACAGCTGGTGTGCAGAGGGCCCTGTGGGCAGCTTTGGGATCCCTACGGAGAGAAGGCCTGCACTTCCAGGAATGGAGAGTCCGTGCCTGCACTTCTGGGAACGAAAAGTGCTTGTCAGGGTCCCCGCGGGTGCCTAAAGGTCAACCAGTGAGGATCAGACCTGCCTCAACCCTTAGCCCCACGTCCTGTATCTATAAAAGGAGCCCTCCCCACCTCTGATGCAGGACTTCCCGGCCCTGCTCTGTTGGGACCCGGAACTTCGCCTGGGAGTGGAATTCCAATAAAAGCTTGTGAATTAACTGATTCATCTGACTGGAAAAATTTGTCACGCACCCGACACCTCCCACCTGTCTGCCGAACCTGGGAAGAGCGTAGTTGTGTTGTCTTGTTTACAGCCCGAGAGAAGAGAAATGTTGCGTACATTTTGAGATTTTCTGGTGAGCCGCTTGCATGAGCCTTCCTTTCACTGCTCTCCTGTATTTTAATCCTGGATGTACTATCCAGTTACCATCACAATAAAATTCACAGCAGAATAATAGCTTAGAGGCAGAAGTTGTCTATAAATTATAGTTTTATAACTTAAATTTCTCACTGATGGCATAAATTGAAATTATCCACATCTAAGTATATGTATTTAGTTTATAATTTCTGACTATCTTTTCCTCTATAAAATATTTCTCTTTTATTTGATTATAAATGTATTTTCTCCCTCTGCGCATTTCGTACGTGTTATAGGAGTTAAAATTATTAGTCACTAGTTTTTTTTAAATTAACTTAAAAAAATAAAAGAGGAGAAAATCTAATTTTGAACTCGTACATATTTTCCCATAGATTCCATCACTACAAAAAAAAAAGTGCTGGATAATTTAACCTCTAAACCTTAAACTTAAGCAACCTTTTAGAAAGATTCAGTCACATTCATGTGTGTGTGTGTTTCATTTAGGATGCCTCAGTTTATGGAGTTTATACCTTTAAAATGATAAACAAATACTTTAAAATAATTTTCTCTGAAGAAAAAAATGTTTCACCCTGATCAGATTTCAGATGCTCGGGTAGCCTGCATTGTGTGGTTGATGGCCAGGAAGAAACGTATTGTTTGCTCATCTTGTAATAGAAATCTAGCATTCTACATTAAATAGCATGTGGTGAAAACAGCTATCTTGACAAAACAAAGTTTTTATATCAGGCCTTTAAAATTTCAACAGAATTTAAACATTATTTAGCTAAAACAGTCCTGCTACAGAGAAGGCTTCTGAGGCCATCGGGCCACCCACGGTGCGGGCTGAGAGTATGGCATGCCACCCAGTGAGACTGAGGCCAGCTTTTCATCTTTGCTTAAAGTATAGTCACTAGACCAGATAACGCAGAGACTTTTTACAAGCTACAGGCAGCCATCAAACCGCCCGAAAACAGTTTATCCTTTTTCTCCCCCTTCTTTGTGGCTAATTAAAAATAATTCGCAAGTTGCAAAGTTTAAAATGTTTTTATGCACAGCACATTTTGCTTTAGGTAGAGCACATCTTTCGTTACAGTGATTAATAGAGTTTAAAGTCTAAAGAGAACTTACGGAATGTCAAGTTCATGTGTAATTTTATAAGAATTAGCCGATTTAGAAAACAGTCAATGGCACTGTGCTGAAGTTTGTCGTTTCCAATTGCGTATGTAATTTTCTGTGCCTGCTACACCAAGAGATAATTCTGCCAAGAAAGGGGACTGCTTTTAAAATATTGGTTTGAGCAGCTTGTCTGAAAACTGTGTTCCTTGTTTCATTACTCAGTAAGCAGAGATTGGACCTGTGGAATGTAGCTGGCGTGTGTGTGCACACGGGCATCTGTGTTTTACCTGTACAGTCTGCAGTAACTTACGGCCTGTGATTGCTGTCGAGTGTAGAAGAGTAACTGACACAAACGCAGGCTCACCTTGAAGAATTTATTTGGGTCTGGGAAATATGGTTGCTTTTAATTGGATACCATTCTTAGCATATGAAAAGACTTAAGCAGGCAAAATGGAAATTTTATTTTAGCAAACCAAAAATGATCTCCAATATAGCTTTCCTTTTAAGAAAGTAAAGTCTATCTGGGTTTGAAAGTAAAGCTAACAGCAGTCTGACGCATTTTCTGTTGAAAAGCAGCTCTCACCTGGGTTTCTTTTTCTCTCCGTCTAAAACAGGGGCGAGCAACACCGCGGACACGTTGTTTCAGGAAGTCTTAGGCCGAAAGGACAAGGCAGATTCCACCAGAAACGCCCTCAATGTGCTCCAGCGATTTAAGTTCCTCTTCAACCTGCCTCTAAATATTGAAAGGAATATTCAGAAGGTAGGGTGCCCACTTCCGTGTTGTAGACTCTGACGGCTTGTTAACATGTTTTTAAAAACCTCCACCAGACGTCTGCGTGATGCTTTACTGACAGTCCCCCAAATGTGTCTTTATTTTCAAGGGTGATTATGATGTGGTGATTAACGACTACGAAAAGGCCAAGTCTCTCTTTGGGAAAACGGAGGTGCAAGTTTTCAAGAAATGTAAGACTTGTTTATTGCTTTCCCGAGACAGGGAGGGTGCGGAATGCGTGCCGCGAGGAATGCTGCGTGCACTGTAGTTTTGTTTGTGTGCGATTGTAAAGCAGTCGCATGGCAAAGGACGTCCTGGCTTTCCCGCCGCAGGCGGTGCTGGTGAGCGGCTCCTCCAGGGCCGGTAGGCTGTTCGCCGCTTTGTTAGCCACGATGCTGTTACAGGGCTGTTTTTACTGGGACGGACAGCGATGGATACTGTAGAGAGATGGAGGCTCACGGTTTAATCCGTGCTCACAGAGAGGCCAGGGTGGCTCTGAATTCTGACCTTACTTAAAACCACACTCAGTACCTTTAGAATTACATCTAATGCCAGACTCACAGAAAACAAGAAGAGCCGCCATGCCCTGTGGTGAGGCCTTATCCCAGGGCTCTGCTGACTCAAAGAAACGAGGTCTGTGAGGACCCAGAAAGCGTTTTTTTAATGGGTGAATTTTCCGTGCAGTGAAATGCAGAGGCCTTACATGTCACAGGTCAGTGAGCTTGACAAATGCGTCTGCGTGGAACCCACTCCCGAATGGGGGTTCGGTGGCTCCAGAGAGGTCCCTGTACTTCTCAGGCTACCCCCGCCCCCCGAAACAGCCCCTGGTCTGTGTTTCCGAAATTTCATTTTTTAGAGTTCCCATTCCAGGAAGCGTGTCCGTTCTCCTCCTCTTTCACAGACTATGCTCAAGTGGAAACGCGAATCGAGGCTCTGAGAGAGTTGCTGCTGGCTAAGTTGCTGGAGACACCGTCAACTTTGCATGACCAGAAACGCTACATAAGGTAAACCTTGTGCAAGCATCTGACAGAGCTCTGACATGGGCTCCGTGCTGATGCAGCCGGAACTCTTAAAGCTGCTTGCAGGAAGTGAGGAGATTGAGGCAGTGGGGAAGGGAAGGCTAACGAATGGGGGAGCCATGTGGAGAGCTCACTTTCTGCTGTCGGAAGGTCCTGCCAGCCTTGTCCCCCGGCTGGTGGGGCATCTCACCCCACAGACAGCGCAGGCCACGGAGCCGGGGCCCTGCGTGGTGGAGAGCGGGATCTGTGGCACACCGGCCGCACTGCAGGAGCTCTGGAGGGCTCCACATTGCTCCACATTATGGAAGCCACGGAGTGGTGAATCTGAACAGAAAAACAGAACAAAGCAGCAGTGCTGAGTAGGACAGAGATGGCCGTCACAGCGGGGAGGGGCAGCCTGGGAAGCAGGCGCGTTGGCTAACGGAACCAGGGTTCCTGAGCTCTCAGTTCAGGGGTACGCTGGAGGGTTTAACAGCACCTGGCGCATCAGCAGTTGCTAATTTTTACGTCTGTGTGGCTTATCCCAGGGCTTGGGGACAAAGCCTCTAAGTGGCAAGCTTTCTGTGTCTGTGAGCGTAAAGTATCAACTTTGCTTTCTGCTGGGATATTTTGAGTGTGGCCTTTGCTGTCACCGTGAGCCGGTACTTTGTAAGTGTTGTAACTTCTGTTTAATCAGTGGTTTATTGAGTAGCTGTGGCTGTCAGTGGTACTGGCCTGTGTGCACTTATGCGTCCAGTGGTGGTTGCCCTGTGAACTCCAGGCACGGGAAGTTGTGCAGGGGACGGGTGTGTCGCACCCAGGTTCTGGTGGGAGTGGCAACTCTGGGGTTGCCCAAGAGGAAAGCTGGTGGGCGTGGCTCCAGTAGCAGAATGTAGGGCGATGGATGGATAGCTGCAGAGTGTGTGGGGCCTAGCCAGCTCAGCACAGGGCCATTCTGTGTGTCCTGTAACCCAACAGCCACCTCGCGAGGGCACACGCATCACACCCACCATGCAAGCGCAGGGACCAAAGGTGCTTTTAGATGGCTCCTTGTACTGCCTTGTCCCCGTCTTTTTAAAGGGTGAAGAATAAGAGTGTCAGTAATACATTACTTTTTTTTTAATCATTGTATTATTTCTGATTCTTTGAGAAGACACTGAGCAGCTCTATTACCTTTTTAGTTCAAATTTTTAGTCATCGATAACTAGAAAAGTAAAACCAAAAACCAGGTCAAGGGACCTGCGTTGTGGCGCAGTGGGGTTCAGAAGCCCCTCAGGGCTCCGGAGGCCCTGGTCCGGTCCTGGCTCCTCCGAGCTTCCAAGCCGGCTTCCGCTAATGCACACCTGGGAGGCTGCAGGTGGTGGCTTGAGTACCTTGGTCCTGGCCACCCACCTGGGAGACCTGGGTAGACTTCCTGGCTCCTGGCTGCTGTCTGGCCCAGCCCTGGCTGTTGCGGGCATTTAGGGGAGTGAGCCAGTGGATGGAAGATGTCTCTCAGTCTCTCCCACTGTCTCTTTATCACTGCGCCTTTCAAATCAGTCATTCATGTGTACATAAATAAACCTTTGAAAAAGCAAGCCACAGAGCCGCTAGGCTTTGCCGTCTGTGGTGCTGGGCGCTGTGGGCAGAAGGCAGGGACTGAGGTAGCCTTACCGGCCTCCGTGGGAGCTTCCACCATCCAAGCTGTCTAGGCCCGTAGGTGTGAACACGAGGTGGCCGGGTCATTGTGTTCCTTTGTCTGATAGCAAACGCCCTGCTCCTGAGTGGAGGCTGCAGGCCTCTCCGGGCGCTGGTCCCCTCGGGTCCCTGCGGACGATTAAGGGGTGTGTGTGCCAGGATACGGCTGGAATGGCTTCAGCCGGTGAAGCTTTAAAACCCCGAGTCTGCGTTTGTCATAATTCACATTCTTTACCTCGTTTTTCCCCTCCACAAAGCCTCTTTTTAAAGTGATCTTGAATATACAGTTTTGAGAGAACCAGCCGTAGTGTGCAGGCAGCCTAAACAAAGCCCTGGGAAGGGCACTGCGGGCTTCAGGCTGCAGAGTGGGGAGAATGCGCTCAAACTCCCCCGCTCCGGCAGCCTGAGGACCTCACCTCCAGGAAGCTCTCCTGGCTGGATGGCTACCCACTGATGAGGCCGGAGAGGAGGCCCCGCCAGCCTGTGGCAGAGACCGAGTTTAGGAAGTTGCAGAGCCAGGGGGCCGGGGGAGGAGCCCGGGAAGACCCCCTCAGTGCTCCCGTTCCATGGCTCACAGCCCGGGCAGCGGCTTCCCTGAGAGCACCCTGGGGTGCGGACGGCTGGCGCTGGGGGAGCCAGCAGGGCCCTGTGCTCTGGGAGGTGTGCGTGGAGCAGCGGCGGGGCCAGGCTGCGGGTGCCGTGCTGGGAGCGGAGCTTCCTCCCTGCGTGCTGAGCTCCCCAGCGGGAGTCCCGGCTGGCTGCTCTGTGTGTGAGCTGCCTCCCGTGACCGCCTGTGTGCCAGGCGCAGCCTGTTTGCACCCAATTTGCACCCCGTGGGCAGACCCCAGGCAGCGTGCACCTGCCTGAAGTGGCCCCGGAAACGAGGCCTCCCCACCAGCTGCCAGGGGTGGGGTCCTCAGCCCTCGGCCAGGGCTGGCCACCCCTGGAAACGAGGCCTCCCTGACAGCTGGCGGGGGTGGGGTCCTCAGCCCTCGGCAGACACTGAGCTGCTTATGCGTTGGGGACTGGAGGGACTGGACGGGGCATCAGGCGTAGCCCTGAGTGGCCAGGGGCCACTGCTTGTAGCGCTGGTGACTGTTTACCATTGAACAGGCATTTATCCTCAGGACAAGACAGCTTTCGGTCTGGGAACCATTTTGCAACACACCATGTCTTTGGAGTGGACTGAATTGGGTGTCACTTGTTAGACTTAGATATCTCGTGAAGGAAAAAGACAGAAAATTTCCAAGGGCAGTATATTTGAATTATCTGGGTTTGGGTGTTCATGTACAAAGATGATTTCAGACAGTTCAAGAACTATTTGAAAACTGAGACAAGCACCTGTGTGCCCTATATTTTCTAGAGAAATGCTTTCTCAGTCACAGGGTAGACTTTAGAGGGGAGAGTGTGTTGTCACCACATCTCGCAGAGAAAATGCCCCTTAGTTAGCTCCTCCTAGGAGACGGTGTCACACTGCCATCTAGTGGCAGGCTTTCATAGAGACAGGAGCTGTTTGAGAAACGCTGAAATTCCTAACTGTTCCCCAGTGTGCTCTGCTGGTTCCCACCTGTGTTAATAAAGTGACTCTGGAGCGCGTGGGGACACGGAGCCAGATGTGCAGGTGGAGATGTCCTCACCAGCAGATAGGATCGCTGCAGACTGCCTCTTCACAAGGAGCTAATGCGGAAGAATCACAGGTTTCCCGTTCCTTGTGATTGTGTGACAGGAAGCTTTAACCCATCTCCTCGAGAGCTGAGCACCAGAGACTGATGTTGGCAAGTGCTTTACGAATTCATAACACTTTAGGGGTTTTTGATAATGATTTTTGGAATCGCTGGCTTCACCGACGGCAGAGGAGTTCTGTGCGTCACCCGTGGCTTTGTCTTCGCAGGTACCTGTCCGACCTCCACGCGCCCGGGGACCCAGCCTGGCAGTGCATCGGCGCGCAGCACAGGTGGATCCTTCAGCTCATGCACAGCTGCAAGGAGGGCTACGTGAAAGACCTGAAAGGCAAGGCCCGCCCTCCCTCCCCGTGGAGACCCTAGTTCCCAAGGCCCCGCCCTCCCTTCCTCCCTGGTGGAGACCGATTTCCCAAGGCCCCTCCCACCTCCTCACCTTCCCAAGGCCCCGCCCTTCCTCCCCTTCCCAAGGCCCCGCCCTTCCTCCCCTTCCCAAGGCCCCGCCCTCCCTCCCCGTGGAGACCCTAGGTCCCAAGGCCCCTCCCTCCCTTCCTCCCTGGTGGAGACTGATTTCCCAAGGCCCCGCCCTTCCTCCCTGGTGGAGACTGATTTCCCAAGGCCCCTCCCACTTCCTCACCTGTGGAGTTCCGTATTTCCCAAAGGCACACAGCGTTTTCTTGCTGCCTGTATGGGGTGCTTTTGCTTTGTTCTGTTTGGGACCCTGGGGAGCATTAGGCCTCAGCGTGGTAACGGAACAAGGAAGGAAGGGAGGAGAGCCCCCGTGTGCTGCGAGGATGAGAGGTTTGTCCCAGACAGCGTTGTGCCCTCGATAACTCCCGTCTGTCCATTGTTCATCACACGTGCCGCCGGGGCGTGGGTGGGGAGGCAGGCAGTCACTGGAAGAGGAGGGGAAGACTTTACACATGTGACTAACAATGAAAAGCAGGAGTGTGTGGTTGGAAAATGAGGGGTGTTGTGGAGGGGAGTGACTGCTGCAGCCTCTCAGGGAAGGCGCCACATGGGCTGAGAGTTAGCTTTCAAGGCCAGCTGCAGCCTGTGCAAAGGCCCTGGGGAAGAGAGGTTTAGCCAGAGCTGAGCTGCGTGCGCGTGCAGGCCTGCGATCAGCAGACACGGGGTGTGGGGAACATGTCCTGTGCTCCGGGCACTGCTGGGTGCCAAGGCTGCAGCGGGCAGCATCTCACGCAGTGCCTGGCTCAGCAAGCCTGCAGAGAACTGCAGGAGGCAGGCAAGCGCTGGCCGGTAGAACACTCCGGCGTGTGCTGCTGTCAGGCTGGGTGTGCTCTCAGCCCTAGCACAGGTCCAGAGCTTAGGTCAGGGAAGTGACCGCTCTTTCACCTTTTTTTTTTTATATATATAATTCACTTACTTATCTGGAAGGCAGAGCAGCAGAGAGAGAGATCGAGATCTTTCATCCCTGGTTCACTCCCCAAATGGCTGCAGCAGTCAGGGCTGGGCCAGCCTGCTGCCAGGAGCCAGGAGCTTCATCTGGGCCCTGCCTGTCGTGTCTTTTGCGAGCTGAGTGGGACCTGTGCGGAGCCGCTGAGAAGTAGGAGGGAAGAGTGGACGCCCACCCAGAGGGAGAAGGTGTGTGTCCCCGGCACTGCGGGCAGCCGCAGGCCCCAGCTTCCATGGGCCCGGAGCTCTGTGTGACCACAGCGGTGAACACTGAGGCTGGGCAGGGCTTCGGAGGCACCAGATGATGGATGTGGAGCGTCCCAGCTTCGTGCAGAGGGCGTGGGGGGCACCTGAGGGTCTGGAGCAGGGAAAGGCGTGAGCAGACTGAGCTGTAGACCGATGCCAGCTGTGGCTCCATGAGGTGAAGGGGTGAGGGAGGAAGACCAGGAGCGGTGAGTGGTCAGGAGGCTGGAGCAGCGGGGCAGGCACCTACCCCGGCTCGGAGGTCGTGGCAACAGAGAGGAAAGTGCACGGAGCGGGGAGGTGATGAAGGCTGACGAGGGTGATGGTGGCCTTCAGTTGGGGCGCCGGGGATAAGAGGAGCCCTCCTCCCACCCCCCACTGTGGATGGGTTGGTGGTTGAGTTGGGGGGGTGGTTTGCGTGGAGGCTGATGCTGTCACCCAGGAAAGTGAGAGGAGAAGAAAGCCAGCCCAGGAGAGGAGGGTGTTTCAGGGTGTGGTAGAAGAGAAGCAGGAGGGGCGGCCGCAGGGGCCGCAGGGCCGCGGCGTCACGGCTCAGGAGCGGGAGACGCGGGCTGAGGTCCTGCAGGCTGGGCACCCAGGCTGCCGAGGGTGACCAGGGTGAGGAAGCGTCAGTGGCCTGAGCCCCTGGATACCCGAGAGAGCAGGGATAGCCCAGCCGAGGGCCCGGAGGAGAGCTGGCTCTGGCTTCTTGTAGCACAGCGCCCTTGTGACTTAACTAACTGGCCTGCATCGGAGGACTTTGCACTCTGGCTCCGTTCTTTTCCATGAATGATAATTTAAGAAAACCCACGTGTTTCTTTATTGATGCTGTTGTTAAAGTTCCTATGAATGTCGTTTTTAAGATTTTTAAAAAATTTTTAGCCAGAGCAAATGACAGGAAATGATGCAGTCTGTGGGCTGCAGGGATTCTCAGGGTGCCTCACACATGAGGGGCTTCAGAAAGCTCATGCAGAATCAAATTAAATGATAAGCTTGAGACCTGTGCAGTGGCGCAACAGGTTAATCCGCTGCCGAAACACCAGCATCCCACATGGGCACCGGTTCAAGTCCCGGCTGCTTCTCTTCCGATCCAACTCCCTGCTGATGGCCTGGGAAAGCAGCAGAGGATGGCCCAAGTGCTTGGCCGCCTGAGCGCATGTGGGAGACCTGGGAGAAGCTCCTGGCTCCTGGCTTTGGCCCTCAGGGATAGCAGCCATTTGGGGAGTGAACCAGTGGATGGAAATCTCTCTGTAATATTGCCTTTCAAATGAAATAAATCTTTTTTTTAAAAAAAGTTTATTTTGGTTCCACAAATTTTGAAATCCATGCTTTTTTTTTTTTTTTTTTCCATGCTGTCTCCTCTCATCTGCCTCTCTGTGGCTCCAGCTGGTAATTTTTGAATTTTAGAGTGTAGTCTGTTTGGCCCTCACTATTCACTACCTGTCAGAATCCTCGGGGTGTTTTTTTTAAATGTTTATTTTTATTTATCTGAAAGGCAGAGCAAAGAGAGAGATGGGAGACGGGAGTGGGGGTGGGGGAGAGGCAGAGAGAGAGGTCTTTCGTCGGCTGGGCCAGGCGGAAGCCAGGAGCCCAGATCTCAGTCCGGGTGTCCCACATGGGTGGCAGGCTCCCAGGCACCTGAGCCACTGCTGCCTTCCAGGTGTGCGTGAGCAGGAAGCTGGGTCGGGAGCAGGAGTGGACTGGGACTTGGTCGCAGGCGCCCACGCAGGGCTTCACCTGCAGCGCCACAAGGCCCGCCCCTCCCGGGTGGTCTTACTGCTCTCAGCACCTGCCCCGCACCCGCCCTGACCCTCTCCATGCCGGTTATCCCGGTGTCAGTCGTTGTCAGGGTGCCAGGTGGGGGCTGCACATGCAGGGCCTGCAGACCCCTTGGAGCCTGCAGCCTTGAGGGAGGGACCCAGGATTTTCAGAAACACGTGCATGTGTTTTTATTATAATTGTGAAGCGGGACATAAAGGATGCTGTGGCCTCCTGGGACGTGGGGAACCAGTGTCGCTGGGGGCAAACGCAGGAAGCCCCCGGCAGAGCTGGCATCTCATCTGAGGCCAGGTGGGGGCCGGCTGCGACCGGCAGGTGGCAGGAGGTCTGCTGGGGAGACCTGTGCGCGTGTGAGAAGCAGTGGGAACACGTTCGCTGTGGCTGGATTTGAATTTCTGGGGTGCATGCACACAGCCTCTCTGGAATTGGGAAGGTTCTAGGGAGTTTTGGTATCTTACTTGCACATCCACGGTGCTCCGTCAGCAAAGGCCTGGATTCCTCCTGAGGATGCAGGGAACGGCTGTACCAGGTTCCTTCCCTGCCGTCGGCTGTCACTGTGTGTCTCAGCCAGCTCGTCTGAGAAGCATGGAGTGACCCCTTCCGCTCCCTGAGGCAGCGAAGGCCGTGGATCTGAGGTGGCCTTGCTCGTCTGTGACGAGCCCTACCCAGCGTTGCCTTTGGGTTAGAGCGAAAGCACAAAGCCCTCAGGATGCCCTGAACCTGCTCTGCAGATGTTACGGCACGACTGAGCGACTGCTCCTTAGTCTGATCGCTACGAGGTGTGTTTTAGTGTTTTCTTTGACATTAGTCGGTAAAAGCCACCACTGTAAATCATGCAGATAATCCCGATGTAATGTGGTCTTGTGAGCTCAGGTCATAAGCAGTTCTGATGTCATTTTGGAGAATCCCAAACAGATTTAAAAACAGAAAGGAAACAGAACAGTGCTGTGCCCACGCTGGCGTCAACAGCTGTCAGCTCCCAGCTGGGCCACGGTCTCTGGCCGCCCCTGCCCCTTCCCCCGCCCTCCCCCGGCCACATCATTTCACCCGCGATTAACTCAGTTTTCTGAGAGTCGAGACGGTGCCTGCTCCTCCTGCAGGACTCCTGGTTTTCTCGGTGCATTCTGAATGCAGGGAAAGTGACTTTGAAGCTTTTCTGTTGTTGTGTCTTTACTTGGACTGTAAACACTGGAGAAAAGCAGGGGTCGTAACTGTTTAAGTAAAGCCACCGGCAGAACAAGGCTTCAGAGCTGAGGCCGCCCTGTGAAATAGAGTACGGTTTTAAGTGGATGGATTGTAAGTGTTTCAGGCAGGAAAAGAATTCTTGATGTCTTTTTTAAGTAAAGCTGGTCTGTACGCATGAATGTAAGAAAACCTAATTAACATAAATATTTTTTACAGTCTTTGCAGGGTGGTTTGGGGAAAAATGTTAATTGTGCTTGGTCTGTGGGGGGGCAGAGAGGGTGGCAGCTCATCGACAGCCGCCCTGCACACAAAGCCGCCTTCTCCCCGGGAAGGTCCTTTTTGGGCGGAGCTTTCGGCAGCAGAGGGGCCTCAAGGCTGTTGTGCCCAGGAGCACCGCGCCAGGTCCGGGTGGCCGCTCTGCCCTTGCAGTACTGTGCACCTGCAGCACGCCTGCCCTGGGCTCCCAGACCGCCCTCTCCAGGGCCTGGTTCCGCAGCCTGCATGTGAACATCTGGTTTTCCTAAGGGGAGGAAAGGGTGGGGGGAAACGAGACCAAAACCCAAGTCCCTGTTTTTAAAACACCCATGGGAAAGCTAGCGCGCTGCGGGACACAGGTGCTTGCTGGTGTCGGGATTCCCAGCGGAGTGGCTGCGCGGTGGGCGCAGCTCTCCCCTGCTCCCAAGGCAGCCCTCTGCCCCAGCCGCCGCC